CAGTTTTAAATGCAATCTGAGAATAAAGGGCCTTTGAAAGTTGGATTCTGGGGCTCTGTGTGCTGTGATTGACATGCAAGACTTGTCAAGGTGCTTATGATGAAGGGCAAAGGTTCTTCTCTTCCCTAGCAGGGGAAAAGGAGCAAGAATCCAGCAGCACCGTTTTGTTGTTCAGTCGCACAGTCGAGTTCGACTCTTCGCGACCCCATGGACCAGATCCCGTCAGGCCTTTCTGTCTTCCGCCGTCCTCTGAAGTTTGCTCAATTTCATGCCCGTTGCATCTATGACACTGTCTAACCATCTCACCCTTTGCCGTCCCCGTCTTCTTTGACCTTCAATCTTTCCCAGCATCAGGATCTTCTCCAGTGAGTGCTCCCTTCTCATTTGGTGGCCAAAGTATTTGAGCTTCAGTTTCATTATCTGGCCTTCCAGGGAACAGTCAGGGTAGATTACTAACCATCTCATCCTTTGCCGTCCCCGTCTTCTTTGGCCTTCAATCTTTCCCAGCATCAGGGTCTTCTCTAGTGAGTGCTCCCTTCTCATTTGGTGGCCAAAGTATTTGAGCTTCATTTTCATTATCTGGCCTTCCAGGGAACAGTCAGGGTTGATTTCTTTTAGGATTGACTGATTTGATCTTCTTGCAGTCCAAGGGACTCTCAAGAGTCTTCTCCAGCACCATAGTTCAAAAGAATCTATTCTTCGGCGCTCGGCCTTCCTTATAGTCCAACTCTCGCAGCCATACATGACTACTGGAAATACCATTGCTTTGACCATGCGGACTTTTGTTGGCAGGGTGATGTCTCTACTTTTTATCATGCTGTTGAGGTTTGCCATCGCTTTCCTCCCAAGGAGCAGGCGTCTTTTAATTTCATGGCTGCTGTCACAGTCTGCGGTGATCTGGGATCCCAGGAACGTGAAGTCTGTCACTACTTCCACGACTTCCCCTTCTGTTTGCTAAGGAGTGATGGGCCCGGATGCCATGATCTTAGTTTTTTTGATGTTGAGCTTCAAGCACCTTAAGGACTAACAAAATTTGTGGCAGGGTAGGAGTAGTGACTCACAAGCTCACCCCCTGCCACAAATGTTAGTCCTTAAAGTGCTGCTGGATTCTTGCCCTTTTCTCCTGCTAGACAGACAAACTCGGCTACCCATCCTGGTCTTCTCTTCCTTGTTTGACCCCTTCCTTGTCAGCCATTTGCACAGTGGGTCAATTGCCTTTTCACCCATTATCTGGAAGGCACATGGTTCCTGAGTGCCTTTCGGGGGTTTTCGTGTGTGTGTGGGGGGACATGTTTCAAGCCCCGAGGAATTGATAACAAATGGGCAATACCTATGTGGGGGTCCCATGGGTGTGCAAGATATATTCAAGTTGTACAGTTTAGGATCACTTTGGCACAGAAAATACCAAGGCAGGGTAGCACCGTATTGGTTCTTACCAGTGCCGTCAAGCCCTTATTGCTGAAAGGCAGGTCCAGGGTGTTCCTCCTTCCCCCAAAGGGGGGGAAAAAAGATCACACATATTAACCCAAATTCTGCACAGCCTCTGTTCTCTTATGCAGATGTGAATTTTTTTTCTCACCCTTCGCTTAAGTCTAGTATCCACCCTCTGCTCGATGGAAAGTGTTAGGCAGGGCTCAGAAACCAATCCCTGGAAACGTTCAGCTGTTTCTCAGACTTCTGAGGTTTCAACAGGGCTTTGAAATCCACACGCTTTGAAATGTGCCTTTGGAACTCGACCAGGTAACAGCGGCCAGGTTCACAGCATTCTAAAACACTCAAGAGCCATTAGCAGACAGGCTCCCAGTAATACTTACTGAGTTGCTTTGTATTATTCCCCCCCTCCCATACACACAACATGCATCCCTGGCGGATAAGAAGGTAAGGTCGAGAGACCACCAACTTGTCCAAATCCACCTCAGAGGCAGAACTTGAACCACAGACCTCCAGATTCAGAGTTTCTCAGCTCCACTATTTTACAGGCTTTTTTAAAAATTGAGTCCGATGCTCAGGAAATTCATTCTCGCACTCAGCAGTTGTTCTGGGCTGCTACAGAAGCTCAGTTGTGTCGCCCCACAGTTCCTACCCACCAGTATCCCAAAGAAGCATTTACTGAATATTTCAAATTTGGAAAGGGAGGGGGGTAAACCCCACCCCCACGCAACCAAGATTTCCCTGTTGACCACCACTCCCTCACCCACATTTCCTCCTCCCTGCGGCTGATCCAAAGGAGAGAAGGCATGACATATCAGAGATTTCTTTATTACAAAGCATACACTGTGCCTCACGAGTAGAGGGCTTTGCTGAGCGGACCTGAAGCTGTGCATCCTCCAGCTGGACGGGTGTTCACTAGAGACTGAAAATGAAGCTGGTAAAAAAACACAAAAAACAGCCCAAACTTTTTTTGGGGGGATTGCTTCACAGCTTAAAACAATGCATACAAAAAGGTCAACATCGTAGCCATCATACTGTTAAAAAGATTACAGGTAGTTGTGGTTCTTTCAGTTACACACGCCAAGGGAGGACTCCCTTTGAGCAGCCCACAGGATAGATCCAGCAAGAGAACGAGGGGGTGGCCAGAAACCACGGAAGGAACACTCGGCTCCCTGAGAGAACAGTGGCAGGGGGTGAGGGGAAAGTTTTCCTGGGCTCCCATTCCCCTCAGACTTCCCGCACCAGGCAGCAAGTGAAGCGGGACGGCTGCAGCGTTTGCAGAGAGCTTCGGCACCTTCCCTGTGTTCTAGGCCTCAGGAGAAACGGAAAAGGTGGCCAGATTTTCACCTGAGAAGGGGAGGTGTTGACCAACCTAGTTTTTGTGGCCTGATAAAAGGAGGCCGAGCTCAAATTACTCTGGAGGGTGGGAGGGAGAAGGCCTCAGAGGCCAAGGGGAAGGCACTCCATCTTCACCCTCGCATCAGAAACATCCCCTTGGCAAGAAACTCAAAAAGGCACAGGGCTGCAAAAGGCAAATTCGCCCAAATGTCCTCCCCCCCCACCCGCAGAGGATGCAAAAGTCTTTGCAGTTTTTTTGGAGGGGGATGTGGGAGGCACAATTCCACCCAACAGGGCAGGGGGGAGATGTAGCTGGGAGGGGGGGTGTCACAGGTCTGTGGCCGGCCCCCAATCATAACCGTAGTCCTGGTCCGATTCAGAGTCGTAGGCCTGAGCCTGCGTGAACTTCTTCCGGAGGGCTTCGTGTTCATATTCCCTGGCGAGGAGACACAAAGAGTGTGAATTCTGCAAGGCAATCTTGGGGATCGGTTTCTTGCACATACAAAACCTCAAGACTGCCCTTGGTTTATTTAAAAAAATCTGAACATTAGCTCTGTTGTACAAATAACCCTACGCATCATTAGCCCCAGTTTATTTACTCACTACCAATGTTCCCTCTAAGCTGTGGAGTCTTGTGAGCAAAAATTCTACTTTGTGAGCTACCGGCATTAAAGCTGTGAGCGAGCAATTTGGCTACTGCATACATTAGTTTGCTCTGGAGCCCTCCTTCCTGAGCCAAGGCAAAAATGTGTGAGCCAGAGGCTAAGAAACGGTGAGCTAGCTCACACTAACTCAGCTTAGAGGGAACACTGCTCACTACTCCAGAGGGCTGGGGGGGGGGGGTGGGACCTGGGAACCCTGCTCACTCCCCCAGGGGGCTGGGGGGGGGGGTTGGACCTTCCCTCCCCCCAACAGTTCCCTCATAAAACCATCCCTGCAAAGTAGGTCTAGGAAACAGGGAGGAACACGGTGGGGTTGGATGGCAGTGCTTGTGAAGCAACGCTATGCCGACCACTCCTACACGTTGGTGAGCGCAAGAAAGGTGCTTTCTCGAACAGGTCTGAGGTTACAGTCTTTTGAGAACTAAACCTGTACAGCGCCTTGGTCAATCTGGGCGGGCTTGCCAATAGCCACGGTCCTGCAGACAGCCTCTGGAAATTGCATGTGAAACTGCCTCCCCCCACACTAAGCTGCTGAGAGGATGCCACATGGCAGGTGGGGCAAGTAAAATGTGCCCCTGTTTGCAAGGCTGATACTGCACGGGGCAGCAGACAGAAGCGTAGAATGGGCCACCTCAGGGCAGCTGGTCTCTGCCCCCCTGCAAGTCTGTCAGGACGAGCCCAAACCAATGTTCCCTCTAAGCTGTGGAGTCTTGTGAGCAAAAAGTCTACTTTCTGAGCTACTGGCACTGAAGTTGTGAGCCAGCGATTTGGCTGCTGCATAAATTAGCTTGCTCTGGAGCCATCCTTCCTGAGCGAAGACAAAAATGTGTGAGCCGGTGGCTAAAAAACCGTGAGCTAGCTCACACTAACTCAGCTTAGAGGGAACACTGGCCCCAACCCCATCGATGTCACCTTGAGGGAGGTGAGACAAACGTGATGAAAAACCTGGGGAACCTGACATGTTCCTGTTATTCTTTTCCACCACGAAAGTCCCGCTCCAGAGCAGTGCCGCACGGTTAGAAGTGTTTGACCAGGCCGGGTTCAAATTTTCACTTGACATGAAACCCAGCAGATGATCCCAGCTCAGTTGCTTAGCCTACCCTACCTCACAGGGTTGTTGTGAGGATAAAAATGGAGAGGAGGAGCCGAGGACCATGCATGCTGCCCCAGACTCCTTTGGAGGAAGGGCAGGACACAAAAGGTAACAAAAGCAAGGGAAGATCCTCCTGCCCCAAAAGAGATCGTCCTTTCCTCCGGCAGCAACGCCAGGAAGGTTCCCCCACCTGGAAGGGGAGCTGGAGACCCATGCAGCTGCCTTGTACTGAATCAGTATTGCCGACACAGACTGGGGCGGGGGCTCAGGCGAAGGTCTTTCACATCACCTACTGCCTGGTCCTTTTACCTGGAGATGAACCTGGGACCTTCTGCATGCCAAGCATAACTTGTAGGGATCAAGTATAGAAGAGCCCTAGAGGTTATGGGTAATTGAGAGGAAAAATCCTATATATAAATCTCCATACTACAGGAGTTTTTAGAAATTTATAAGAGGATGTAAAAAAATTCTTGTCATATAATCTATACGCAATCTATATAATAATATTCTTATATTACGATCAAAGATCAGGAAATACCTTTAAATGTTACATATAGTTAACGGCAAAAATACAGCCAGACAGTTGATACCGATACAGATTAAAAAATTTAAATAAGGCAAAGGGAATTTTAAAATGTCCTAAGAAGTAATAGAAAAAGCCCAGCAGGAACTCATTAGCATAATAGACCCCACCCAACAGCAAAATCCTATTAGCATATTAGGCCACACCCCCATGTTACCAGAAGTGTGGTCATCCAGCCATACCCACCTTTTGCTTCTTATTCTGTGGACCTTGTTTGTTGTCAAAACCCAGGGCCTTTTTTTGTAGCAGGAACTCCTTTGCATGTTAGGCCACACACCCCTAATGTAGCCAATCCTAATGCGTTTCTGCTGTTGGGTGTGGCCTGTTATGCTAATGAGTCCCTCCTGGGCGTGGCCAACTTGGAAGCCAGCCGGAACTCCGTTCCTGTGCGTTCCTGCCCAAAAATAGCCCTGGTCTTCTGTCTGATTAGGAGGGCCATAGCACAAAACCTTGCAACCTTAGCAGTGGTTTCATTACAAATATCAGCTAAAAGAAGAGTAGGATAAAACTGGTTAGCCCTGCCTGGGTAGGCGACAATGATTGGAATAATGTATTTAGAACGAATCTCGTGATAAAATCGGCAAGATAAAAGAACGTGCTCAATTGTCTCGATCTGTCCAGAATTACAAGGACAGAGTTGACTTGCGTATGGGGCATGAGTGTCTCTCCCGTGCCAGAGTAAAAGCTCTGCGGTGCTGAGGGAGTTCTAACGAATAAAGGTAACCGGATGGAGCGAAACTTCGGTTTTTATTTCTCAGCACTAAAACGTGTGAGGCTCGTGCTCCGTCCATTTGGAGAGAGGTGTCCCATAATCTTTGTCTAACAATAGCTTTGGCTCCTTGAAATCCAAGGTGTTAAGAGGGCAGTGCTAGAGAAGCCTAGAAGTGCCAGTTTGTTTTCTGTTGCGTAATCCAGGGGCCATTTCCTGCAGGAGCGCACAGAAGCGGAGCTCCGGCAGTAAGGAGGCCAGGGGGCGGGCACATGCAACAAGCCCCGCCCCCTGCTCTCAGCAGCCCTCAGTTGGGCCATGAGGAGCAAGAAGCAGCCAGGTAAGTTGCAGAGCCCCCCCCCCAGTCTGCCTTCAGGTATAAGCTCTCCCTCCTCTGTGAGGACAGATCTGCACATTCCCACCCCCCAATAGCTAGCAATCCAAAACAGCCCAGTGGAGCCTGAGTGGTGGGTGTTGCCTTCTGACACACTTCCGGTGATTTCAGGGTGTGTGGCATATGCAAATAAGTTATGCTAATGAGCTCCTGCACCGCTTTTTCTACGAAATGACCCCTGGCGTAATATACATTTTAGAAACACCAAACATTTTTTTTTAATTGTCACATTTGTATTATCGACGCAGTTAAAACACTGCTGCCACTGATTTGTGCTGGTGACGCACTGAATAAACGTGACACGACCTGAGATGGCATGCCAAGGAGATGCTCTACCACTGAGCCACAGCCTTTCCCCTGATGGAAGCCTACCTGGTGTTATAGTCTTGTCTCCACTGTCCTTGGGGCTGCTGGTCACTGTCATGCTGAGACAGAGAAAGAAAGGGAACACAAGATGAAGAACCGTGACGGCCACGTTGGAAATGTTATGTCATTGTCATTTCCAAGCAGCCCAGCTGAAGTTAGCCAAGACTTAATGCCTGTTGAGACGAAAGAAACAAACTACTACCAGTGAGGTTATCTGGTGCATGTCGCATGCATATTTACGCATAAAGTCCCCTTGAGTTCACAGGGCTCCCTCCCCGGTAAGCATGCAAAGAACTACAGCCTTATTCATGATTTAAGACAGTACCTCCATGCGGTGCCGCTTCTGTTTCTGAACACTTCCATGTGCAAGTACATCATTCACTTATTACCAAACGTTTTCATCCCGCCTTGTTTCCCTCCCCCCAAATAAAAAGGAAACCCTGCAGGTAAAAACAAAACGCAAAAAGGAAAAAAAGGTTCTAAGCCCAGCATTCGCCTCCTTGCAGTCCTAGCTTTCTACTTGCAGGGCTGCTCGGTTCCCCATCTCTTGACGCCGCACAGCCTTCTCAAGAGTTCCATTTTATTCTGCGGTCTAGACTAAAGCCCAACATTTTAATTGGGTTTCATCTCTCTGCATGTCACCATCTCACATTTCTTAAGAAGACACATCGTTATGCTTTTTAAGTATTGCAGTTTTTTACAGCTGCACATTAACGGGCCAATGCGAGCCTCAACGGGAAGCAGAGACTCCTATGGGGTGGGCAGAGCCCCTTGCTTTCTCCTCGTCTTGTATGCAGGTTTTCTCTGATCCCTCCCAACCGCTGCTTAGATGAAAGCTTAATTCCTTTGACTCTTTCAAGTTCATGTACAGTTTCTAGGCAGAAAATAATTTGGGAATGTGCCCAGGAAGGGGGGGGGGAGGAAATAAATTGGCATATCTTTAATTACCCAGGACTTCTGAGTCAGAATCAGCTCTCGGGCTGGTGACCCCTGCACTAGGCTCTGCTTATTGTTGCTTCAGCAGACTACCTCGGCGAACCCCCGGAGTCAGGAATGATCATGGATTGCTGGGGGGGGGTGTCCCCCGCCTACTGCGATCACAGAAGCCAGAGGAATTGCTGAATGCCAGGAAAGCAAATTGTTCTTTGACTGATGTTTACAGTAAAAATGTGCACAGGCGGGCCAAAGGGCCGGGGGGAAAGACTGACCTAAATTATGCACACCCAGCAAAATTGCATCGTTATGAAGATCTGATTCGCAGGGCTGGGGAAATCTGGTATGACGGTTCTACCGAGACTGTGTTTTACAAACAGCAGAAAACGGCAAGCAACTGCAGGAGAGACCGGACTCTGGCTGGAGACCACAGGCCCCTGACAATGGCTCTCTGCAGTGCGGTCCAGCAATCATCCACACGGTGCCGGGCGGTGCCCACTTGCTTCTTGCGCTATGGGGATAAAACCCGAGGCATCTCAAATGGAAGAGAAAACAACAGGATGCTTCGGGGTCACCCCCACCTAGCTGACAGGACTAGCAAAGCAATCCAGTCATCCTGGGCAGACGCATGCCAGCCAGCCATGTGCCCTCAGCACTGGTGGTGCCAACAGATGTCTCCAGGCCTGGCAAATGTTCCTGGGGGCCACATGCGGACAACAAACCCTCCCTCCTTCCTTTGGAGACTGTTTCGGTGCAGAGGCTCTGCTGGGCTTCAAAGAGATGGTTCCAGCGTTTATTCCACATCTCCTCAAGAGTCGGAGGTGCATCAGCCATTTGGAAGAACCTGCCTCCATGACAGATGATGCTTGGCATGGACAGAGGGTTGCCAGGCAGTGTCTGGCAACCAGTGGGGAAGGTTGCAGGGGGCCAGTATCCCAAGGAAAAAAAACTGAGAAGAAAAATAAGGCTTTGGCTGCTTACCAGAAGTTCTGACCATACAGTTCCTGGAACTAACAAGGGTAGCTCTAGCAACCATCAGAAACTCTATGGTAACATCACCATAGAGTTTCTGGCAATTGCTAGAGCTACCCTTATAGCTTCTGGGTAACTCTAGGAACAGGGAAGGAATTCTGTGGTCAGAACTTCTGGAAAGTAGACGAGGCCTTATTTTTGGTTTTTAATTTTTCTCCCCAGGACGATCACCACCATCCCTCTGGCCCTAGTTTCTGCCCACTGATCAGAGGAGCACTGGCAGATGGGACTAACATCTGCTGGAGGTCTCCATCACAAGTGGGCCAGTTGGAACCTTACATGGAACCCGATTACTGTTTTGAGACTGGCCACACACCCACGGCAGCCATTTTGTGGCAACGTCCGCTACCCTACCTCAGCATTCCTAATGTGCCCACAGGTTCAACGAGGTTGGCAATTCCCACTGTGTGGTCGTCAGGGCTTTGTTTCTCCTTACCCGGTCAATGGGGTACGCCAGAGCAGCTGCCACCCGCTCACTCAAGTCCAACTCGTGGCTTTGCTCGGCGGGCTCCGAAGAGCGAGCCAGGGCCTGTTCCTCGTAGGGCTCGTCGAGCTCCTGGTCTGTGTACGCCTCGCCCTCCCCGTCCGTTTCATCGTAGTCGCTGTTGGCCTGGCTGTCGCAGGTGAGGTAGCCGGAACCGCCAGTAGGGGGCTGACTTAACAGGTCTAAGCCTTCCACAGCCGGAGACTCCACCTGCAGAAACAGGGAAAGCGTTTCAATGGCAAGATGGAAGACATCTCTGATGACGCTGTGTAGCAAAGTGATCACAAAGAAAGGGGGGAACAGTTGAGACCTTGTCAGGCTCGGGTTGATTGATCATAGGTAGCTGTTTTATCGCCAATCAAGAGTCCCTGATGTATCTTCCCCTGCTTTATCCTGGCTTACCCTTTTCCTCCTCAGAGTGTATTTTAGTGGTTTTATCTTTACCCTCGCCCGCCACAGCATTCCTAAGGGGAGGGGAGTGAGAGTGAGTAGACGGCTTGCTGTTATAATTCTTCTATGGAGCCCCAACCAAGACATCGTTTCACAGGGGAAGATGTCCTTGGAGAAACATCTTTGATTAGCTAGAGGAGGGCCCTAATTCCTATGGTCTGAGTAGATTGTAATGGGCCGTCCGGCCAGGCGGTGGCAGTGCTGCGCTCCAACATCAAGCCACGCCGAGGGAAAAATGCCGTTGGAACACGTCTGACCTTACAGCTGAACAAACTCCCCGTCGGCTGCGAAGGTGTGTGATTTAAAAAAGATTATATGTTGTCCTCCCTTACCCCTTGAATCATTGTTAGTCCCGTGTGTATTTGAGTAACTGTAAATCGCTCAGAGCCAGCAAGCTCTGCAGGATTGAGCGATTAATGAATTGAAATATTATTATTATTATTGCTGACGTGTATGAATGGAATGTGTGATTGTAACTATATGCACCTTTCCCGCCTTTCCACCTCAGTTCTGACAAAAGAAGTCATTCCCTAAACATCTCATATCTTCTAATAAAACTTTCAATCAAGAAAGGGTGTGCGAAGAGTGATTTGAACGGGGCTCTGACAGACCTGCTAACAACCTTTTGGGAACCAACGAGACCTGGTAACAACCCATTTAACACTCAGCCACAAACTCAAGGTTGTCCGTCAACAATGTGGGTCCCGTAATCCTGACTTGACCTTAGAGGCTGGTTGTCGGCGATACATACTCTGAACATTTGAATTGTGCCCCAAGAATGCTAAATTATTTTCTTTATTATTAGTTGGATTAACAACAAGCAAGAGGTCACAATTCAGTGATTTCCCAGGTGTTACCAGATTTTGGAGGGTTTTTTTTTACCGGGGGGGGGGGGGGGGGGGCTCAGTTTCTAGTAACACCATAAGATTCCATCAACATTAGTAATCCACATTTTCTTTTCCATGTCAGTAATTGAAGGGCACATCAATGGTGCAAAAAACACAAACAAAAATTCTACCCTCCTTCTATTTAAAACATTGCCCTGCCCGGTCACCTAGAGGTGATCCTTTGCTCGTCACAGGTAACTAGGCTATTATCCCGTCCTTCCTCCAAAGATCTCAGAGCAGCAATACGTGGTTCTCCTTTCCTCCATTTTACCCTCACGACCACCCTGTGAAGTAGGCTAGGCTAAGAGAGGGTGGCTGGCCCCACTGGTGGACCTCCTGATGGCACTGGTATTTCTGGCCACTCTGTGATACAGAGTGTTGGGCTGGATGGGACTTTGGCCTGATCCAACATTGGTGTCTCTTATGTTCTGATGTCACCCAGTGCGTTTCAGGGCTGACTGGAGAGCTGAACCCAGCTCTCCCCACTTAACGCCCAAATGCTCTAACTACACTAGCACAATCACTTCTTGTACGCCTAATATAATACACTCTTTATGTTGCTTTTTAAACTATACCATGGTGTGACAGGCAGAGCACACAAAAATGTATGCCAGAGACACACAGTCGCCAACCAGACCGGTGCTGGGAAAAGATGTGATAGGGAGAGACGGTTACAAGTCAGGTTCTGAAGGTTGTAAGAAGGGCTAATCTAAAAGGAGCACGATGTACAGCTATGAGGAGATATCCGATCTTTAGGATAAGATTCCTTGTTGAGAGAGCTGTGTGTACCATGTACCAAAGAGTTACCAAACTGGCCTGAGAGAACTTTTTTCTGAGACATGCACTGTAGAAAACCTAACACCCTATAACTCCTGGTTGAGTGCTCATATTCACCTCAGGTTGTGTGTGTTTTTCTTGTTCACTTTTTGAAAGCAAACCACCTCAGCCTGTCAATTTTACCTCAGTTATCAATCCAGGCCAGGGTAGGTTAAGAACATAAGAGAAGCCAATGTTGGATCAGGCCAATGGCCCATCCAGTCCAACACTGTCACACAGTGGCCAAAAATACCAGGTGATATCAGGAGGTCCAGCAGTGGGGCCAGGACACTAGCAGCCCTCACACTATTGAACCCCCAAGCACCAAAAATACAGAGCATCACTTGCCCCGGAGTCCCTATCTATACCTTGTGGCTAATAGCCACCGATGGACCTCAGCTCCATATGCACATTCTCTGGTTTCTGGGCAAAACTCTATGGTAAAACCAGCTTCTAACAATAGAGTTTTGCCCAAAAACCAGAGCGTTGCCCCCCGACATGACCAACACGCCGACGTCACTTCCGGATGATGTAGGCATGTTGTGTTATTTCCGATGATGTCACGGGGGGGCGGGCTTTCCACCCACTGGCCAGCTGACTGGTGGCGGGCAGGAGCCCAAAGAACCAGGGGACCACCCGCCTTCAACTGGGGAAAAGCAACCCTAGATCCAACATGCATCTGAAACATGTTTAAAGGTAAAGGTTTCCCTTGCTCGAAAGCCAGTC